AATAGTCTAAAAAATTCAAGCGCAAATGTGTCACATAGTATATATCCTCATAAATTTCAACGCTTGGGATGTAGCTAACACAATCCTTCGCGCGTTAACGTTTGCTCCTTTTTATAGTGAAGTCTGGATAGGTCTGCTTGAAATATGTGGTGCGCGGAGTGGACACGTACGCAGTCTGATATGAGTGGTTCACGTGTATATACGTGTGCAGTACTCTCGTTCCTTACTGGCTGAGAGTGCCTTCCAGCTTTCTCTCCCACTAACCCTCAGCTTCAACAGGCGTCACTACAAGCGACAACAACGGAGTCCGCCCAGCAAGCATCACACTTGCTAGCTGGGGCAAAAACGGCACGTCAGTCAGTGGATGACGGTCGAAGGTCGGTGAGGATCCGTTTTTCCTGTGGCACCGTGGTCCAGAGTTCTCGCTTTGTTTTGGGGACCCTGGCAGATCCGACTTCTGAAAACTTTTACCCTGCCACTGCAGTGTGCCACGAGCAGCCAAGCCAAGAAATTACAGGGTGTTTATTTTTCCAGCCCGAACTGGCAGTGCAGAGTATTAAAAAATCAGATCCGACCCGATCGGATCAGAGCAGATCTAGTTTCCCACGTCCTTAGCGAACACAGTTTCCCTTATGCCTAGGCAAAACAGGCCAGGAAGAGGGACGAGGGGGGAAGATATTGCGGGGGACTCTTGAGAGAGACGAGAGCCTTCACCACTACTACTTTTTGTGACCAAAGAGTTGTGGGGAATGGCCGTTGGCAGAACTTCGATCGATTAGGGTTTGTTCCTTTTTTTCCGCAGGGTGCTAGTTGAACCGAGCTCGGACAGGGCAGTGTCACGCTTGGGAAGTCTTAGGACGTGGTGCAGATCGGGGCGATCTGAGGCTGATTGCCTCGATCCCGCAATCCATAATTTCCGAGAAGGTCCAAGAAGTACTTTTGGGCAATCGGGGGCAATCTGTCGATCGCATTCGAGATCGCGATCGATTGCGAACGATTGCCTCGATCTGATGCAATCGACTGCAACCGAACGCGATCGATAGGTTCGGTGAATGGCGATTGTGCGCGATTGGTAACCGTTGTCGCGAAAATTCGCTTCTGCTCGTTGCTACAGAACATCTCGCGACAGTCGAACTTTCCGGGCTGAACCTCTGGACCAATCAACGCAGGCCCAATGAAAATGAATGTGACACGCATAATGGGGCAACACTGTAATTTCGGCATACAGATGTACTCGCTTGGTTTCGCCAAACTTGAGATGGAAAGTACATATTACTAGCCTGGAAGGCGCGGTTAATGTTCCGTATTGTTTCGACGAAAATCACCGGTCAGATCGCGCGGGGCGGGAAGCGATCGATGGTTGCGTCAGATCGGGGCGATCACACCCAATCGCTCGCAATCTGATCCAATCGACCACCGATTGCGTGAGATCGAGGCGATCTGCACCACGTCCTTACTGCCAATCAGAGATGTCAAGGCCGGGCAGAGCGGTACGTTCGGCAAATGCTGTAACAGGGTAAACCGCCCTGCAATCCTGAGGCCTGCCATCGTCCTCTTGTCCGTTGGGATAATTTACACCTTTCGAGCTACACCGACATTTCCTGTGAGGGTGCATTCCTAGCTCGTGTCTGACGTCAGGTCATCCGCCCTTAGTCCTTGATTTGTCTCTTCCCAATGTTGATTTGCCCCTATTTCGAGCCACTTCGGGTCTTCCCAGCGTCCAAGGGCGGATGACCTGATGTCAGACACGAGGTAGGGATGATCCCTGAACCGGCCAGATTGGATAACCCTAACGTGCCCAGAACGGTCCCTGAACACAGTATATACCGTAAAGCGATGTTTCCTTACAACACATTGTTTGTTGTTCTTTGGGAATTCACTTGCCCGCCACCTACCTGGGGTTTGGTTACAAGCGCCAGCCCGCAAAGTCCAAACACACGTACGTACTGTAGCCAGGGCTCCCGATTGTCAGATCATCGAGAAAGAGGGAACAGCTTCGCCAACCATCTGATCCTCCATCCGTGTACCATTCCGAGTAGAAGTGGTATTACGCAGTTTCAGCAGTAGTTTCATAGCTCCTAGTAAGGCGGCGCCCTCTCATACAGCTGTTCCGAGAGCCAGCCGGCTTATCCGTCGAGCAGCGCAAGCAGAGGAGTGAGAGCAATCGCGAGCAGCGGCGGACTGAGCAGCGGCGACTCGCCTGCCCGACCGGGGCTGCAGCGACGGCTTCGTTAAGCCGCCAGCGGATGGCGCGTGAGCGCGTGCTGCGCGCGCTGGCGCTCGCATGGTGCCTCGCCGCCCTCGCCACTCGCCTCGCCATCGGCGCCCAGGCTTACACGACAATAGAGGCCTCGCAAGGTGACGCGCGAATCGAGGCCACGGCGTGTACTGAGGCCAGCCACCTGCAATGAGTACGAGTACAGCTACTAGTGATTTCTGACGACACCACCTCTCATAGGTGTCTAGGGATGAGCAGGTCGACGGCGAACCGGGTTCGGCCCAGGTCGGGCCGGTTCAGGATCCCTCCCAAGCCACCCCTGAACTGTCGGCCCTACAGTCATTATTTTGTCCCACGCGATCGAAAGCTGGAGCTAATTGCGGCCGCAATTACTAGGCCTCCATTATCCACTATAGATTCTAGTACCGAGCACACGATTCTAGCGTTTGAAAATAAAACTTCAAGTCGAAATTTAGGTTTTTTTTTCCGCTTTAGGGGTGACCTAAACAGATGAGTGTCAAACAGACATTTTGACTTAGTCCTAAAGAGATCGTGACAGCAAGAACCGTTTTGAATTTCGACCCTTTCCAAATATCGGGCGCGATCTCTATTTCACAATAATTTAACTGTAATGGCAAGTTACCCGGGGCCGGGCCGGCCCGCCCCGGGTCGGGCCGAAAAGGGTTCGGCCGGGCCGTTTTTGGCCCGCGCCCACCATGTGGCCAGGCTCGGGTGGCTCATCCGGCCAGGGGCGGGCCGAATTTCTAAGCGGCCCCGGCCCGGTTCGACCAGGGCCGCCGAACCCGGCCCGGCCCGTGCTGATCACAATAGGTGGCTTGTTTCAACCAGCTCCCACATCCCTACGTGCGCTCTCTCCACCCCTCACCACTACCACATCCGTCACCCCCCTCATTTCCTTCTAACCCACAAACCCCCTCCCCTGTTTGACCCCCACTCTCCCCCCCGCACACCCCCCCCCCCCCCCCCCCCCTCTTTCCCCCCTCCCCCTTTTCCCCCCGTTCCCACTTCCTTCTCCCCTTCCCATCCCCTCCCCCCTCACTACGCCTTACACAATCTGTGCAGTGGATGTCCTGCGTGACTGCGAGAGGACATGGAATCGGTATATGAGTGATTGGCAGGAGCAGATGATCCAAGAGGGCATCTATTGCGAGTATGATGATTACGGTAACCTCCTGTACTGCGACCGCGGCTGGATTCGAGGCACCTTCTGTGAACTTGCTGGCCTCGACTGCGACGCGAACGGGATGATCTTGAAACTGTGAGGTCTTGTCACCTCATCTGCAGTCCGGCTATTCCCACACAGCACAACAACGCCCATGCTGTAGTCGTATAAGCGCATTGTACTCAATATATTTGGGACAAGACAGGGACTCCCACATCAGTCCCTTCCTCATGCCACCTCTAATGCCGTACTGTTTTTTCAATCCCATGGTGGCATGGCATGGCATGTGTGTGTGGGTGCAGTTCTTTAACGTTCTTTGCTCTGGAAGGGTCTATTCCGGCGTCCATTGGCAACCTGCGAGAGCTCATTGAACTGTACGTCCTCCTGGCCTTGTGAACTGTACGTCCTCCTGACCTTGTGAACTGCCGGCCTGCAAGGCTCAGAGAAGCAACGACGAGTGGAAGGGAAGGGAGGAAGGAGAAGGGCTGGAAAGGTGGAGGAGGGAGGACAAGGGCTGGAAAGGTGAAGGAGGGAGGACAAAGGCTGGAAAGGTGAAGGAGGGACGGCAGTAAGAAGATGCTAGTATGAGAGGTACGAGTGAGTTAGCGAACGTATACGGTATATGTACCATAGTCGTAGGATGCTACTGTAACGGCCCTTCTCTTTCATTTGTTGTTCACTTATTCCTCTTCCCATTTAGTGAAATCCTCATCCAATCTCCAACCCACCCTTACCCCCCCTCCCATTTGATTTCAATATGGGCCCTCTTACCCAACGTATGTTCCACACGTCTTTCTTTCCCTTTCTCCTACATCATCTTTGCTTCTGCATCCCGCCCTCCCCCCCTTCATGTAGCCTTCATTCTATCCTCCCTTCTTCTGCGTGGAAAGGCCAGTCTTCGGACCAAGCGAGACTCACCTTGTTTAGCTACCCCATCGATCCCTTGCTATGTCTGCGTACATATCAGGGCGAATGATTGATATCATATAACGTGCTGTTCTAGCAGGTGGTAAGGGCATAAAGTAGTTCTCTTACTGACCGTTGGTTGTCAATGCGTGGGAACTTCAACTTTCTGCCTGTATCACGTGTCCCATTTGTGTCCACCATCACAGTGATTTGCATAGGAATGACCTTTCTGGTTCAATTCCAACTGAAATCTTCACCCTCACAAAGCTGACACGCCTGTAAGGCCTCCGACCCCATCCGCTGCGCTCTCCAATGAAACTCACACCTTTCCCACTTCAGTCGTTTCCTCTTTTCCAATCTTTTCCACTAAAACCTCTGCATTCTTCTCCTTTTTTCACTCATCTGTCTGAGTCCCTTTGCTATCTTTGCTGCACCTCTTCTCTCTTCACCTGTCTTTCCATCCTCACTTCTTCCTTTCCTCCAACGCGCTCTCTCTTCACTTTCCAAAGCCAGTCCATCCCCTATCACTGATGGCACACCACAAGCATTTTTTTTCACACTGTTATCGTGCTTCTGTGCCCCTTTAAACAATGTCATTTGCGTACCTAGTCGCTCTGATTTATGTATGTATTATGTTACACATAATATATGTATGCATGTATTATTCGTGTGTATGCCTCACCATCATGACAGCGATCTTGGTGCCAATTATCTGACAGGCTCAATCCCCAGCGCAATTGGCATGCTTACGAACCTGATTCACGCGTAAGACCTCTGCCCCACCAATCGACCCTTTGATTGGATAACTAACCTGATTCTTCCAGTGGTTGAATGTAAGGCTATCTTATCATCTTTACCCCTCACTCACCTTTTTCCCCAAACCTTCCTACTTTTGAATACACTCAGCGCTGAACAATCAATCCGTATTCGCTTCCTATGATGGATTCAACGCTAAGACAGGGCAGAGTCAAGCATCAAAACACTGAGTTTGGCGCTTGACGATGCACCCACAGGCCACAATTTTGTGAACAGTTTCGCCTCCAACCAATTTCCCCTCCCATTACCGATCTTCACCGCACCAAATGTAGAAAAATCAACCAATTAGAGATCTGAAATTTGAGAGTTCATGTCACTTCTAGTCTAGAACCAAAAGTTATAGATCTCGATCAACTTGATCTCGTGATATTGTATGCGATACCAAGATTTCGTCGCAAAATTGCGAAGGCGCACCCAAAAACACGCCTTCGCATCGTTTGATAAACAGCGAGATACGTTTTTTTTTCTCATATAAATTTATTCGACCCTAACTTGGGCATGCTTGACTCGACCTCGGGTCAACAACTTCCCGAGGTCCGACGGGCGGATCGGGTATCTTTGGCAAAGTCTTATTTGACCCTGACCGGACCCGACGCGACTCGAACCTGCCTCGAGTCGACCTGGTTGGGACGGGTCGGGTCGGGTCGGCTTAGACATGAGCAACGAGGCGAGTGAAAAACTCGCCTCGTTTTGATTACTTGTTTTAGGCGAGTAACGAGTAGGGCATATTTTACTCATCGTAGGCGAGGCGATTGATACTTCCAAGTAGAAAAAAATACTTGCTTTCTACACGTGTTTTTCAGAGAATTATTGTGTACTCGCGAGTACGAATTGCATTCGCGAGTAATTTGATACTCGCATTGTCCTAACCCCCGCGCGACTCGGGGGTGGGTGTGAATATTAACATTTCCAGTTCAACTTGCCAGCCTAGACCTAGCATTTTTTATCGTGCATGACCATCGAGTAACTAGCTAGAGGCCAACTATGAAGATCTATTACATAGATCGCCTTGACTTCTACTAGTCAAGCGTAATTAGGTACCTTGCAATCATGTTTCAACTCGGTTAGTTGTTGGTCCAGAATTCGTTCAGGGCGTTAGAAGAGTAGCGCAATACATTGAGTTACTCGCTCGTGGGGTGTAGAAGGATGAATTGTTAGAAGTGTTGTAGAAGTTGGGTTAGGATTGCGAGCAGGAGTACGAGCAAGAAGAGCGTTGAGAGAACCATGCAAGGCGCTCGCCAGGAGACCACTGGAGGGAGGAGTGAAGAGTTCATCTGAGGTGAGTGCGTGGTCATCGCCTTACGTCTCGGTTCTCAGCGCTCAACCGATGGCGCTGCCAGGTGATGGCGTTGCCAGGTGATGAAGTTCCTACTCGCCGAAAACACGCGCTCGCTGGCGGCTGAGGAAGCTGGGATGGCAAAGTAGTCTCGTTGCGGAGATAAACTCTACAACGGGAGCTAGACTACGGGGGAAGACACGTGTGAGTGATCGCAGCGTATGCTTGTGTACTCTCCACACACACATTCACGGGGAGAATTGGCAAGAGTATCACTAGCAAAAGTTTGCAACAATGATAGCAACAACATCGGCAAAGCTGACTACATCAGAAACAAGTCTGCCTAGCATGCAAGCAGGTCGACTTCCAGCGCAGCAAGGTCGACCGCGTTCCAGCACTGCAAAGTCGACTGCGTTCCAACACTGCAGGGTCGACCGCGTTCTAGCACTGCAGCGCCGCATTCCATCGTAGCAAGTTGACGGCGTGCCAACGCTGCAGCAAGACGGTCGACCAACATTGCACCCGTAGATAACAGCAGTGCACACTCGCGCACCTGCTTCGCAGGTGCCTGCAGACGGTTGGTGCAACGTGCACCGTCACATGCACAACGCATGTGCCAAATTTGCCGCGTGCCGATTGCGGCGTCTGATGAGCCACGTTGACCTCGGGATACCACTCACGAGGTCGCGTTCATCAGAATCACCTCGGCGACGGTCGCGCAACCTCGCAGAACCTCGTCGCCCGGGTAACTTGGTCGACCGGGCAACCACGTCGACCAAGTTCTGCTCCAAGTGCCCGTCGACCGACCAGGTCGACGACCACCTCCTGCTGACTTCACGAAGTCGGCCACTCCCTAGGTCGACCACTTCTAGTCGACCAGACCTGCTGGTCGCCGACTGCACCAAGTCGGCTTCCCCAAGTCGGCGCCCCTCCCAGGTCGTCTTTGTCAAGTCGACCTCCCAAAGTTGGCGCCCTCCCAAGCTGGCGCCCTTCCCAGGTCAACAAACCCCATTGTCGATCACTACTGGAAGTCGGCCGCCGGCTTTCCATAGTCGGCGGCTTCGTAGTGGCCCCGTGCAGGTCGACCAAGCAAGTCGACCTGCGCGCCTAAGTCAGCGTCGCCCACTGCAGTTGGTCGGCTGCACCTCCCTCACACCCAATCATGAAGTCAGCTCCGCCCAAGCGAGGACGGGCCCAACACCGAACTTCCGTTAACTCGTGCCATCGCCTTGAGAACGGGCATGTCGCGCTTGTCACGCCTTTACTCAAGAGGGGTGGTAGTCTGGACTAACCCCTCCAACATGTACCTCTCGACCTCATCCCCCCTGGGCCTAGCCACCCCCCCACCCTCCACGCTAGCCGCCACACGTTCAAGCAATCTAGAGCGACTAGCGAAGTGCACGCACTCGTCGTCGTCCTCCTCTACAGCCAGTGTGGGCGACCTCGCAACCACTGAGGGGCTGGTGGTGCTACACTAGCCGCGGCTGCTGTCTGCGCCGCCTGGTAGCACGTCCAGCACGAGCGTACCAAGCGCAAACCTGCTCCAGTGGCACCTACACCGCTGTAGGCACACCCTGCATCGCGAAGTACGCCAACTTCAGGCCAGGTTTGAGGAAGGTGGCGACCGTCAGCTCGTCAGTGCTGTTGTTGTAGTACTTCTGCAGTAGGGGTTCGTCGTGCTATTCAGTAGGAGGGATTGCATGGAACTGAACATGGATGGATGGAGAAAGGGGGTGGTTTAGGAGCCTTGGGAGCAAGGACAGAGTCGATGAATGAATGGATGAAGAATTGGGTGTACGTAATATTGGTTTAGGGTTGCACAACAAGGCAAATGGCACGTGCCACCATGAGCAAGGTGGACCGTCAGCAATCCTCGCAATACAGCACCAACTTAAGCTCCCGTATTGAAGGATATGCATCCTTCAACTCCTTCATGAATCACGCCATGCGCCTAGGCGAGAGGCCAACGAATGTGGCCATGTCGCGTAAGCGCTGCAGGGGCAATTTCACCTTTTTCTACCTCTAGCGCTTTCTGTCGCGTAAGGTTCAGAACATGCGCCATGCACCTGTTTGGAACGTAAGGGGGAAACACTCAGCAAGGTTAAGGGCATACATAGTCCCATGCGGCCATGCCCATGACAATGCCCATGCCCATACACATGCCCATGTCCATACACATGCCCATGCCCATACACATGCCCATGCTCATACACATGAGCATGCCCATACACACCCCCATGTCCATACACATGCCCATGCCCATAGACATGCCCATGCCATGCCCATGCCCATAGACATGCCCATGCCATGCCCATGCCATGCCCATACACTTGCTACTTGAACCACATGTCCTCAGCGATGAGTGGAAAGCGCTCTCACATCAGAAGGAGCACTATCACTAGCCTGAGCGGGTTCCTGTGCCTCGATTTGTTGACCTTACGAGCGCGCATACAGTTCGGCTGATTTTTGTCGACTCCATTGACAACATACCATTCGTCGTCCTTCTTCTTGAAGCAAGTAGCAAGGGGGTGGTTAGTGTCACCACACACTTGTCCCTTGCGGTTGTCATACTTGACGATGTAGGTGCATGGAGGGAAGCGGTTGCGCTGGAAGGGCGCCGAGGTAGCACTTGCTCGAGGCACGGGTGCACGGAGGGCGTAGGCATTGGCTTGAGCCGTGGTGTCTTTCTCGGCGGAGAGGAGTGCGGAGGAAACCTTAGCGAATGTGAGGTCTTTTGCCGATAGTGTGAGGAGCATCTTCCTGGTCACCTCATATGCCAAAGTGAGGTCGACAAGAAAAACGGCTGCATGGGCTTGTTCGAGCAAGACGATGCCCAACCCCTTGAGTTTGCAATGGATGGTTTGCACCTTGGTGACGTAGTCGGCCATACTCGGGGAGTCCTCAAGACGGACCTGGAACATGCTAGGGTTGAGAATAGCCACCTGACCGTCGTTTTGTTCATAAACCGAACCTGGAGATGCTTCCAAATAGCGTTTGAGGTGGGGTAGTTGTAAGTATTTACGACGTCGGGAGGGGTAGTGGCGATGAAGACGCTACATCGGCCTTTTCCCAATGGCGATACTTGTCAACAGCTTCCTCATACTCCTTAGTTGCAGCATCATTGGTAGGTTCGGTCGGCCCGTGGGGAGGGGGGGTTGTTCTCCCTTGCCGTAGTTGAGAAGGACATCCTTCAGGTCCAACCCTTGCACCTCACAACTCAAGAGGTGCTTGTCAACCCCAAAGCTCCATGCCTTGTACTTGGAGCTAGTGCCGTCGGCTTCGAGACGAAGGGGGGTGATGTAGGCTTGAGCAAGACGCGAACACGAGCGTGTGAAGGCGAACACCTTGGTGTCGGAGGCGAACACGAACGTGTTCGAGGCAAACACGTTTGTGCTCGCACCGGGGCTGCATTCACTTTTGTCACACGTTTGCGGATTGTGGATTGTTGACATTTGTTAGGTCGCTGTAAGGTCCAAATTAAGTAAAACTCAATTCGTGGCACATTTCCTCCCCCACCCCTCAAGCCACTCCCGCCCTGCTTCATCCATGCTAGTGCCAGGACGTTTGTGTAACTGACGGAGAAATGCTAGATCTTCACGTAACTGACGGCGAAATGCTAGATCCTCACGGAACTGACGGCGAAATGCCAGATCTGCGCGTTAATGATGTTTGAGCTAAAAAACGCGACCTAAAAATTGGTCGCGGGTCAATTCGTCGACGAACATATTAGTGTTCGTCGAAGCCCCGTGTCGAACACGAACGCGTTTGTATTCGACGCGGCTCGGCAGCAGTAGCGAGGCGAACAACGAACGTGTTCGGGCGAACACCGAACACGTTCGACCCGAACATTTTTAGCCAAAAAAGTTCGAGGCGAACCGAACAGGTGTTCGTTTCCTTGCTCAAGCCTAGGGTGATGGGATTGGCGATGGTGGAGGAAGTGAACGCCATGATGAGTGTATTTATTCCTCTCCGCGAGGAGCGCATCTCTTAAGTCCCCGTAGGCTGAATACAAAGGTAGGGTTAACGAAGGAGAACAGTAAGGTAGGGTTTACGAAGTAGAATTTGACGGTAGGGCTTACGAAGGAGAATTCTAAGGTAGGGTTTAGATCTAGTCGCTGCAGGGCGACGGGCGGCAGCCCGAAGCTGAGGGGACGCGCAGTTGCGGGGCGACGGGTGGCAGCCCGAAGAGAGGTGATGCTGCGGGGCGACGGGCGGCAGCCCGAAGGTGACTATGCAGGGCGACGGGCGGCAGCCCGACGAGGAGGAGAAGTGCCGCGTACTCAAGAAGAACCAGCGATAAGCGTTTATGCCAACGATTCGCTTTAACGAACAAACACGGAAGTCGCCGCGACGCGACGGTAAGGTGAGTGGCGCGACTCACCGCCGACGGGATTGAAAGCGGCTTCGCCGGAGTGCCGAATAAAGCAGTACTGGGCAAATTACGAATACTGTCTACAGAAGTGACGGTAAGTATAAATATTGCGAATACACTCAGTCCGATTTTTTTTTTTTAGTGCTTTAACCATGATGTTTACTGCCTATGATTGGATTAAGAGTTCGGGAGGAGAATCCGCAAGGGTAGAAAGATCATGATCCGCGTGTGCGGTTTGAAGGGCTCTGATTCCACGTTAAAACTTGAGCTTAGAATCGATACATTAGTAATGGGCTTAAAGCTCCTTAAGTACATCCAGAATGAGCAAGGTGTGGATGGGGAGGGAATCGGGGGCCATCTCTAGGTATTGGGGGTAATCCTAAGACAATCTCCAATTGGTGGGTTGGATATTGCTTGGAGATCACATTTAAGTTTGGTTGGGATGTGGGTGTACACCCAACCAAAGACAAAGTGCAAACTACATGAAACTAGGACATGAAATGTACAAGTACAAAAGGTGAGATTGAGGGCTAACACTAACATTACTTGCCTTGTCAAATGCCCATGTCTATCTCTGCTACTCCCGTGTCCTTGTCGTCCCTCTTTGCATTGCTTTCTTTCATCTATTCATATGCTTATGCATCTTCTCTTTGCAATTGTGGCTGCACATGCTTTTCCTGTGACCTCTCCTCTCTTCGCCCCTTCTGTCTGGTCATACCATCCTCGCTTTCTGTATTCTCCATTTTTCGCACCTTGGGGCAGGCAAAAAAACCCCCTCAGCTACCCATCCCTGTTTGGTTGTGCCATTGTGCCAAAGGATTGTGGCAACACTGCTATTACGCTTCCTTGACGTGTTTTCAAACTTCACCTATGCATACTTCTGACAGGGTGCTCTTGATTTGTGTGCTCAATGGAATTTCACCGTATGTAGCACATATCTGTTATGTGGGCATTTTGAACAGAGATTTTGGTACAAATCAGCTCAATGGCTCAATCGCTGGTTCAATTTGCAACCTCACACATCTGACCTACCTGTAAGGTCTCTGCTTTGCTATGTTCACCTGTTACCTCACACACATTCACACCAAGGGGGAAATGAATGATCAACCGCTGTTTTTTACAATGGTAGTATACGGTAGCTTCCAGGGAAAATATGACGTGTTTCCTGTTGAACTGTTTGGGAAGTTATGATCAACCTCTCCAATCTTGCCACCCTGTAAGACACAGAGAGATCTGGATTTCTCTTGTATGCAATCTAGGTTGAGAGCAATGTACGCGTCGAAGTCGCTAATTACACTTGCGTCACGTATACTTTTTATTTCCATGCTTGTTGGTTGATATTAAAACTCGGTAAGCTTTATTCACCCTTGGCTGAGGTTTTGAACATGCTCGGCCGAGTTTCGGTTAAACTCGTCTGCTTTGACGAGTGACGAGTGTGGAACCTGCATGAAAAAACTCGTGAGAGTTCTGCTCGGCTTACAGCAAAACTCACACGAGCGTGGCTCTGGACTAGGCGAGCTTCACTCGCCTCGTCCAAATGCTCATGTCTACACTCATTCGTTACAGTCTGTCTAAGAACTCACACTTAAACCTAATTCCTGTTGAATGTTCAAAAGTAACATGCTAAACGTAGAAAGATCTTATAAATGGAGAGTCAGAGTCTAGGAAGTATTCGGAGCTAGGGATGCAAGACGCAAAATCTAACGTGTTCGAGCCGAGCCGACATGTTTGGTTCAACTCGAACGGATTTAAGAGTTCCAGTGTTCGAGTGTTCGCCTATCGTATTCAAACACATACATACATGTTTGACTTGAACATAACTGCACAGGTTGCGTTGCGAAGCGTGTCAGCCAGCAGTTTCAAAGTTTATTTGTTTGCGTGTTCTGTATTGAGAGTTGCAACAGTTTCGAATCTTGCAAGTATCAACATCTGCGGGAAAGAACTGGAAATTCCTTTGCAGCAAATGGCATTTTGTGTCCTCGCGACAGATCTGTCATTTTTCTTGCCGTTTTTACCAGCGTCTGTGTACACCATGTGTAGGGTAGAGTTGAAAGGGTTGATAGGCCACCGGCCAGCAAATTGAACCGCGATTTAGTTTGGTGCTCATATATATTTCACGGTAAAATTTTGGAAAAAAACCATGTTCTGTTGTAACTTGATTCACTTTAATTATTTCCATGTCCTATGTTTCTCCTCTCATGACCCCCCCGTTGACCCCTCATCCTGGTTTCTTCTTCCCTCCCTGTCCACTTATCAGGGATGAGCAAGGGGCGAACACGAACGTGTTCGCGTTCGCCCATGCACGAACACCCCTGTTCGGCGAACCGAACACTGTTCGGTTCGGCGAACACCTTAAGCAAAAACAGGTGTTCGCCGTTCGCCTATGAAGGCTTGTTCGGGCGAACCTCGAACACGTTCGTGTTCGTCTAGGGGCAAATTGCAGCAGCGGCCCGAACACGAACGTGTTCGGGCGAACATCGAACACTGTTCGGCGAACACTTTAAGCCAAAAAAAAAAACCTGTTCGGTTCGCCTCGAACGTGTTCGAGGCGAACCGAACAGGTGTTCGTTTTTTTGCTCATCCCGCACCCTATTGTTCATGCAATAGGTCCTTCCTTGCGACCTTAGGCTAGACCAATTGCTAGACAGACATGACAGTTTCAGGGGACTCTGTATTTCTTGTAGGCCCGATTTAGTGCATACAAGAATCTGGTCACTCCCCTGCTGTGCCTGGCAACTGAGGGTGTGATTTGTACATTTGCATCAAGAGAGGGCTGTTAAAAAATGGTCAAGTTGCACGTCACTTGGTTCGTCATGTTTCCTAGCCATAAACATTCCCACCTTCACATTTTCATGCTTGCGCTAGTAGTCACCCTCCTCTTGATCCTTCCCATCCTATGTGTGGATGACACCTTGGAGGAGGTGTCATTGCTTCCCTTGCAGGAACACTTGCCTCCCTCACCTCACTCACATCTCCCACCCGTCGATCGCCTGGATACAGTTGTCTGCTCTGTTGTTGTTGCTTGTTATTACAGAAATTGTGATCAAAGTCAGCTAACTGGTTCGATTCCATCTTGCATCAGCAATCTGAAAAACCTACGATCGCTGTAAGACACCTAATTCGCTGCGTTCTGCATCTTGTAATCTCCTCTTCAACTCGATTTCCTGTGCTATGCCCGTACTCGATAGTAGGTCTGTTAGATAGGTTAGGTAATAACGACAACAGTGAAGCTGGCTAATCTAAGAATAACAATTAGCCGAGGTCACAATGTTGACATTTGTACCGCACTCTGTGGGGTCAACTGTCGCGCGAGTTTATACTCCACTCGTTTTACGAACAAAAAAAGCTCAAGTTTCGAGTTTCATAGAAAAAAACTCGGCGAGTCGAGTTGTGTCATACACTCGAGTAAAAACAAAACACGTGAAAATGATTAAACCCTAAATCCTTTTTACTCGAGTTCATAGCAAATTGGCAGCATTTACCCTCCAGATCGGCACTGATCTGGCATTTCGCCGCCAGATCCGCGCGGATTATGGTGGCATCTTGGTGCTTGCTGTTAAGTTGAGGAGCATACATGGGCGTCGAGGCGAGTTACTCATCTAGGGGCGAGTGACGAGTACGCATTTTGGCTGAAAATGCTCGTCCGAGCCGACGCGATTATTTCCCGGCGAGTTTTTTGTACTCGCCGAGTTATCGGGCTTTTTGACGAGCATTTTCAGCCACTCGGACGAGTGTTTCGTGCTCGGCGAGTTGTTTTTTTTAACTCGTCGCATAACCCAAACCGAAAATCGTCGCTACTCTGGTCAACATCAGTTAGCTACTAGGTAGTTTATAGGCTAGAAGCGAGTGGAGGTGGAATGTGATTTGCTGGTAAACTTGACAAGAGGTTGGTTTATTAGATATTAAGGGGTGAAGAGATGTGGGCTGGTCTTGGGGGAGATTTTGTTGACCCCCGATGTTGCGCGGCGAACTCGCAAAGTGGAACGCACGTTTGAATTTTGTTTTGAGGTTTTCCCTTGGGCTGACAAAAACGCTTGCACGTTCAGCGTTTTGAGTTTGAACGCAAGCGTTTAAATGCAAATTGCTTGAGGGTCTAAGCGCTTGCGATCACTTAGGGTATAGAGATCAGCTACAGGGCAGCGGGGAGCTTTACTCGTACTCGGTAGAGCATTTAGAAAAAACCGTCCGAGTAATAGAGAAACTCGTCAAAATAGACGAGTAACGAGCATGCTGTATAACAAAAAAAGTATCGTCCGAGTATTGCTCGGCTCAGGGCAATACTCACACGAGTTTTGCCCCAGAAGAATCGAGTTTTGCTCGACTCGTCAGTTTGCATATGTATACTTGAAGCTGCTGATCAAAGGCACTACGTAGTCACATACGGTAGACTGTGCCCAGCAAGTCTCTTGCTCCCCTGTTTGTCGGAGACCAGGGAAGCGCATACTGGTTACCTGCTTGCCTAGCGCCCAAGGTTGGAGTTCAAGCTGGGCACGAATCCGGCAGGCTGCAATCGTGGCAAGGGAAGGGCTTGTGCATTGATTTCTCTGCTGCTCCACACCTGAGTGTAACTTATCGAACAACCGATCCGGAAATGGAGAGGTCGGCGACCCTTGTTGAATCAAGTCAGATTTTTTTAGTTGGATCTTACAGTAAGGATTCTCAATGTACCTTGTCCATTGGTTATCACTTTCCCTCAAGGTGCAAAAAATCATTGTTTTTCTACAAAATCTGGCCGTAAAATACAGTATTGTAAAACTGACCGCAAAACACAATCATAAAAGATATCCTTTCGGTTGAAAAAATCCGTCGTTTTTTCAGTGAGATTTTGAAACTGCTGCTGTAACATGGGCGATTTTTCGTGAGCAGAACGAGGGGGATGTTAGAAGTGCTGCTAACACACCAGGAGATGCTGTGAAGTGTTGTCTCTCTCACAACGGCATCTTTGACGTTTAAGTTTCCTTTTTTTTTTTTGTCCGCCAAGAACACTTTTTTTCCCCTAACAGGAACCATAAATTTCCATCGGAAAAAAACAATCGTCTGATTTTAGACAATTGCCTTTTCCACCTTCTTTCCCGTCCCTCGTCCCCTTTCGTGTCCTTATCTCTCAACTCCCTCTTCTTCCTTTTACTCTTCTCTTAATCTAAAAACTCTTGTCCATCGTAGCTCCAGTTCTCCGAGCTTGTTTGACTGATCTTTTGTCAATGACTTCTACCCACTGTACCTGTCTTGCCTTGCTCGATGTGGCTCCATCCTTTCACAAACGCAGGCATCTGGGAGGCAATCAGCTTGACGGCCCCATTCCTCCAGCTACTTTGAGCCCTTTAACAGCATTGAGAACATTGTATGGCTTGTCTCTTGTCCTGCTTTTGCATTCCACCAGAAAAGGGTTCTTTGTGTGCATGTGGAGTGAAGAATGTGTTTGATCGATGATATGCATCCACAGCATTACCCCACCCCACTTACTTCAAAATCCCGATTTGCTCTACATTCCAGGGATTCGTTTCTTCCCTGGTTTTTGTTTTGGTTTTCCTTTTTGATTTTCAAAGTTTTCTGCAGTCCTCTCTTCTCGCCTTTCTGTTGCCATATGTCCTTCTTGGTTCCTCTCAGGTTTCCCTTCCCAGTTCTTGGTTCTAACCGTCCCACCTCGTCCTCCTTTGCCTCTCTTCGTAACTGCAGAGTTTTAGCCAGCAACAAGTTCAGTGGAAACATTTTTTTCGTTTCGACACTCTCTACTGAAGTGGAGATCCTGTAATGCCCCTTCCCTGTTTCTCCTCTCACTTGCACCTCTTGTTTGTTTAAAAAATTGTGAGAATCCACATTCTGTACCAGGGTGATGTAGAAAGCGAATAACCTGCACATGATAATTCATCCTGGATATGACATTCGGATGCCATGTAGATATCTAGGCACGAGCATAAAAACTGACCGCAGTTCAGTTTGGTGTGATTCGGTTTTTCCCGAACCGAACTCGGCTCGCCCGAACCGGTTTGGTTCGTTGCCTTATGTCATGAACCTCGAACCGACTATGCTAGACCGGTTCGTTCATGAACTGGTTAAGTTAGGTAGCGATCCGGTGCGATTTTAAGGGTATTTTACCAAACTGTTCCCGTTCGGTACCGTGCTCATGCCTATCAAGATTTTTGTAATTGCACCATTTTGCATTCTCAGGCCTCCTACTCATGTTCTCCTCAGGATTCTCAACGGCAATCAGTTCAGTGGCTCTATTCCTTCTGACATTGGCACTCGCTTGCTCAAACTGCAATATGTGTGAGTCCGCCCTGTTTGGTTTTCCTTCTAAATGCTTTCACTCCCCTCCTCGTGTGGTGCTCCTTGCGTCGCAGAACTTGACAAGTGGTGAGGGAGGGAGGAATATACATGAGCAAAGGAGTCAATCTACTCAGCGGGTTCTTTAACTAGCCATTGTCGACTTTCGAGCTCATTCTATTTGGGGATGGAGCTTAACTGAGTCGAGCCAAGTAAAGTTGGTACATATTTTGTTACTTTTCATAATGGCAGACAGACACAATTGAGTCGAGCCGAGTTAAAATAACCCAACTGAGTTATGCCGAGATAGGGGGAAAATGAAGGCTTGGGCGCGTAGGACATGGTCGTTCGTTATCCAGATACTAAAGGGTGAAGTGGGGTGAGATGGTTTTGTATGTCAATATAAAATTTAAAATAACCGTGGGAAACCTACAAAGGGATCAACCGTCAGAACTGGGTGCTCCTCCTCCTCCTCCTCCTCCTCCTCCTCCTCCTCCTCCTCCTCCTCCTCCTCCTCCTGGCATCCTTCTGTTTATGATTTTTTTTCTTGCCCTTAGCCGTATTCCCTGCCTGTGTATATGTGCTACTCTACCCCACCACCCGCACCTCCCTTGCCTCGCTCCTCACGTGCAGTGGTGTCTCCCGCAACTACCTCTCAGGCCCCATTTCGGGTATTCCTTGGACCAAAATGGATCTTTCAAGAAACTTCCTGACAGGTCCACTGGATCCTTCATACTCCACTGAAGACCGTCTCGCTGAAAACTGTTTCACGCGGATCAATTGTCCGCCCACGCAGCCCAACTGTTCACTCACAAATCAGCGGCCGACAGTAGAGTGCAGGACATTCTGTGGTGGCTGGAATGCCTGTGATGGCCGTGGTATCTGTTATCCAGACGGGCCCAGCTTGGTGCCAACGTGCTTGTGTGAACCGGGATACGTGGTGTTCGGAAGGTTCAACTGTCTTGCAGAAGGTAATTGTTGTATTATTAATCCTTGTTCACAGTGAAGATCATTGTCGTAGATTTCTTTCTTCTACATCACACTTCTTATCTGCCCTGCCTCCTGCACGTTAGTACCGCGTTCTCTTCTATGTTCGCATTGATTAGCTTAAGCCCATGCCTTCGGATTGTTTGCCAGGTGAGCAAAAGAAGGGTTTCAGCTTCACACTCTCCTATCATGAACTGCCAAGTCCTAATGCGCCATTGATGTTTAATATGCATTCAGCTTCTGCACAGTTATTCGGCAACCTATGCTGCACAGACCCTTCTTGTTTTCTCCAGCATATGCGTGTCTTGCTGATCTGTACTCATCACCCTGTAGCAGCCTTCTTTTTCCAGCTTGAAAAAAATCCACTGTTCCACCGATCCCATCCTTATTTGCCCTTCTGTCATCCGCTGAATCCTTTCAGGTTGGGATCGTGGCCTCTTTACCAACAAGCCTATGTTTCCTTTATTCACCATCCTCACCAAGGGAACGCAGCGACAGACAGTGGGGAAGTTTATGGCGAAGCCAGTAAGCCTTTTTGCATACCCAAAGCCTTTGACCACAGGATGTGGTGCGGAGCTGGCTTTCAGTGTGAACTTTACATTCTGCATTATTCCCCAGAATGGTACTGGAGGGTTCAATGGCTTTGCATTTGTGATCTCGGCCAAGGGCAAGGTGGGCAAAGCTGATGGTGTAGGCTACGGTGGAATGGAAAGGCGGAGTGTAGCCATTGAATTCGACACACTTCAGAATGGCAACCACTATGATCTGAAGGAGCAGCATGTAGGGCTCAACGTAAATGGCTCGGATAGTTCGTTGGTCGCAGTGGAGTCACCATTCACTCTGACCGATGGTGAATTATACACAGCATGGGTGGACTATGACCCTTGGAATTCTGGGACAATTCAAGTGTTTCTGGCCGATTCCAGGGTGAAGCCAGAGACGCCGCTGCTGCAGAGGGAGCTGTCGCTGTGCACGGTGCTGCAGCCTAGTGCGCAGCAGTCGGCTTTCTCCTTTGGCTTCGTGGCGTCCACCACTAGAAAGCCCTTTCAGATGCATTCCATTGTCAAATCCGCCATGCGAACAGGCAAGTGATTTGCTGACTGGGGTGACGGTGAGGTGATGGCAGTGAGTGTGTTGTTATTGTTGAAGGTGGTGGTGATGATGATGATGATGATGATGGTGATGATGATGATGATGATGATGATGATGATGATGATGATGATGATGATGATGATGATGATGATGATGATGATGATGATGATGATGATGATGATGATGATGATGATGATGATGATGATGATGATGATGATGATGATGATGCTGATGCTGATGATGATGGTGATGGTGATGGTGATGGTGGTGATGGTGATGGTGATGATGATGATGATGATGATGATGATGATGATGATGATGATGATGATGATGATGATGATGATGATGATGATGATGATGATGATGATGATGATGAGGATGAGGATGAGGATGAGGATGAGGATGAGGATGAGGATGAGGATGAGGATGAGGATGAGGATGAGGATGAGGATGAGGATGAGGATGAGGATGAGGATGAGGATGAGGATGAGGATGAGGATGAGGATGAGGATGAGGATGAGGATGAGGATGAGGATGAGGATGAGGATGAGGATGAGGATGAGGATGAGGATGAGGATGAGGATGAGGATGAGGATGAGGATGAGGATGAGGATGAGGATGAGGATGAGGATGAGGATGAGGATGAGGATGAGGATGAGGATGAGGATGAGGATGAGGATGAGGATGAGGATGAGGATGAGGATGAGGATGAGGATGATGATGATGATGATGATGATGATGATGATGATGATGATGATGATGATGATGATGATGATGATGATGATGATGATGATGATGAGGATGAGGATGATGAGGATAGTTTGGAAGTGAACAGGCGAGGTGATAATGGCATTGCGGTGACGGTGGGTGGTCGCATTACAATTGTCGTTTTTTTATGGTAATTGTTCTAACAAATTTATCTATGCTTAGCAAAAACCTCTCCAGTCATGGTTGGGAAGGAGTGGAGATGACGAGCTGAATGCTGTCTAAAGTGACCAGTCACGTGCTTCTTCAGCCTTGAATTTCACCTTTTATCTTGGTGCTGCTGTGGTTGTCATTTTTTCCCTTCTGTCTTCTCACAGAAATATCTCCGCCACGCAAGCCAGTCCAGACCACTCGAGGTGAGCTCTCTCTGCCATGTGACAACCAGCAGTTGGTTGGTGAGATGATCAGCACTAGTAACGTCCAGGATAAACCACATAACAGCTGGGAAGCCCAAGGGTGAAAGAGAACTTGACAACACAGTTTCGCAACTCCATGCTTATGCCAATTTAGGCATGATCACGGCTCCAGGCAGAACCAGTTTTTTTACACGAACCGAGCCCGGCCTGGTAGTCGAGCCAAACCTGAACCGGTTTGAATCAAACCTTTGGGGGACCCGACAGTTACTTGGCCCGATCGTGGTTCGACTCAAAATGGGGTTTGAGTCAGGTTAGTTTAAGTTTGGCCCGACCCCTCCTTCGCCCCTCTCCCTCCCCTTCTCATTTTAGTTTGATTGGTTGTTTAGGAAATATGCTTATTTTACCATGGAGAAAGCATGCAGGCTGGAAGGTGGAGCTAAAAAACCATGCCCGCAAAGTTGTGCCCGTAATTGTTGAGGCTAAGTAGTTACCGACCTAAGCACCAACCAACCAATGCTAGCGGTGGTAAGGTAAGGCAACGCGGAGAACTATGAATTTGGAGCTGTAGCTAAAACGGTGGAGCTGAAATCTGAAAAACTAGCAAAGGAATGTGTGAACAACGAGGGAAAAATGAACTGGTTGGAAAAAATACGGCACGGAAAATATCGGGAGAACCTTCTTTGCAACCCGGAATGTTCAAGCAGCCTACCACGTTACTCGAAGCACGAAGCATGAAGCAGGATGAAGCATGCCACATGAAGCGAAAACTCCGAATGCTTATAATCTGCCATTTCTCACAAATAATTTAATTTGTTGTTTCGAGTGAAAATCCAGCCTGGAAACCAGGTCACGTACTTGCGTTCTCCACATTCAGCCAGAGTCGAGGCAGAAAAAAGGCCCAGATTCGGTAGACTTCTCATGCTTATGCTGAATGCACAATAGTACATGAGTCTGCTCCGATTTTTTGTTGCGCAAGGTTGCAAACTCTAGTGTAGTGTTTTGTGTTCAATGCGAGCTTAAGGTGGATCTGTGCTTTACACTCACGCCATGTGTACCTCTACAATCACCCATGTTGTCTAGTCTTCTTTTCCAACCCATCCCTCCCCTCACAGAACAAGGACTAACAGTATTAGCAAACTCATTTGCACCACCTGGAGCGAACCCCTTCTCGCGCTATGTGAGCACGGACTACCAATGGACGGATGACGATGCGAGCGCGGATTCGTGGGCTGTCCGTGACTTCCATGCCTGGAACGCCATGGCCTTCCTCAAGTGGCCTGTCAAGGATCAGCTGGTTTGCAGTGAGTGACATGAGGATGGAGATTTATTTGTCGCGCTTGTTGGATGTAAGTCCTACGAGGTCATTTTGAGTAGTAGGCTCATTTCCAGCCCATTTCCACCCAACTTAACGGTTACTTCAGGTAACTTAGGTTAATTAGTCGTTAGTTGCTTTCCCACTCGCCCTGCCCTCTTCCCCCGTGTTCCCCACCCCCTAAACATGTATGGGCAGGTGTTGTTGTACTTAATTGGATGAAACAGGAGTGGTGAAATCTGTTAACTCACACAATCTGCTAAGTCCTTATTTTTTAACACCAAACATGTTCGGAATTGGCCGAACATGTAGATGTTCGGCGAACAGAAACATGTTCGCCCACACTAACCAAACACCAAACATGCAAATGTGAAAATGAAGTTCGGGCGAACCAAATCGCCCAATTAAACTGTTCGGGGACGTTCGGGCAAACACGTTTGGTGTTCGCCCGTTGCTCATGTCTAGACCGGAAGACATCTGTTCTTCAGGTTCAAATGCTGCACGGCTATTCCTTAGCGTAGTGTCACGTTGCAAGTTACGACCTCATCCAAATATGTTTGCCATCTGCATCGCTGGTGCATCAAGGTCCTCCTGTTGAAAATGGGTTTAACCCTCATTCACTGTTGCCGTGTCTACTTTTCAGATTCATGCTGGGCGTATTTATCTTCAGCGTGACTCCACCCTCAGAGGCTAGCCACGATTCACTGTTCTCGTATCTACCTTTTCTCAGGTGCATGCTGGGCGTATGCGGTGGTGGCGAGTGTGGAGGCTGCGTACGGCATCGCATTGAATCAAGCTGCTCCCCAGCTGTCAGTGGAGCCACTCTTTGCAGCCATGGGGCTCACCGATGCAGACAAGTGCACCGCTGGAGGCTCCCCCACTGCCGCCTTTGAGAAGCTCGTCACTCTTGATGCCACCAGTGGACTCACAGATAATAGTGACCCGGTAGGGAAAACAGAACGAGGGCACCGTAGGTGCGGTGGGGTGGGTGGAGTCATGAAAGGTTGCCAGAAACGGCGGTTCGGTTTCAGCAAGCCACTCTAAGGGAACCTCATGTTTCATATCCTTGTACCCTTTCTTCATCCATCTGCTCTATTCATACATCTGAAACCCCATTCTTGTGTTCCCAGGAAACAACATACCCGGTGGCAGCATTTGAGCGGACGCTCTTCAAGGGGTACTTCGGGCTCATGCTGGCAGTGCGGCGCCAGCCAGTGGTGGTTCACATCGAGGCTACTGCTGATACGTTCTTCCAGTATGATGGGGTGAGTTGCTGCAGCACTCGTGCAGAGTGGTGCCTCGCGGACTGATGCAGTGTAGTGCAACCTTGCAGGATGGCATATGTATTCATATGCACGTGTCACAGTAAATAAATGGCAGCTAAATGGAGAACCTTGGGTCTTAGCTTCCTTATGCATGGCTGATCATATTTGTGCTTTGATTTCATGACCAATGTATGACATGTCCCCCTTTACTCTCCAGACGTTCAAGTACCAGGACCCTGCGTGCTACACGGGCAATCTGAACCATGTGGTGCTCGTCGTTGGCTACTTCATTAACCGAGAAGACAGCAGCCAAAAACGCATCACACCTCCATTTTGGGTCATCCGCAACTCATGGGGAGTGGGGTGGGGAGACAAGGGCCACATGCGCATGGGCATTCAAGGAGGGGATGGCGTGTGTGGCATCAACGTGCTGCCTGGCATCTACCCCATTGTCAAGAGTGAGTGAGGCGTTTACCACATTGTCAAGAATGAGGCTTTACCCCATTGTCGATAAGAGAGAGTAATGCACAACACTGTCTCGGGTGAGGCACTGATCCATAGTTAAGAGTTGGACATGTCCGGGAAATGCACAACATTGCCAAGGGCAAGAGGCAGCAAACTATTCCCCACTCTTCCCCCCCCCCCCCCCTCCCCTCCCAATCTTTTCCATCCACCCTACCCCGGTTCTTGCCTCTTGTTCACCCACTCATATACAAAAGCAGGCAAGCTTGCTGCAATTTCACAGTGAGGTGTCGTATACAGGCTAAATATAGGAGACAACCCTACCCCGCAAATAGTTTTGGGTTCTGAATAGTAGACACTAGCATGTCCCTCCCATACAGAGGTGTTAAGTGAACGAGACTCAGCAGGACGTCCGACTGGTTCTTGAGGCACCTTTGACAAGGTAAGAAGTGCTAACGACCAAGCCTGGCAGAATTGTTGGAAAGGCCCTACCGTACCCATATCTGTAATTTTATTGCAGAGCGGTATGGGCTGAGCCCAGGAACGGCATGAAGAGGACTGCGAGAAGCCATTTCCCCAAGCCATATCCTGACAGACAGAGAGCATGCGTTGTATGTGGCAATTTGGGGGTTCAAGTCCACTGATTCTGATGCCGTACCTTTTCCATAGCGGTGGCACTGGCAGCAAGAGCGTGCTGGAGTGCAAGGCCACATGGGACCTGGCGCTCCTTGTGTTGCGCTTCCCATCACCCTAATACTGTCCGCCGGCTCCGCATTGAGCCAGCCATGTGTGGAGGTGGTGGGACTAGGGTTAGCAGCCTCCTTAGTAAAACGTCTGGCACAATGGCTGCCAGGTGGGTCAGTGGGCAATGCCGCGAGGACTCGGTGAAGCTGGCTGGGAAGCCGTGCTCTCCTTCTACTCTTCGGCCTCCTTCCCGACGACGGACGGTGAGGGGATTGGGCCCAGCCAGGTCCTGGCTCTTCTTGTGGAAGGATGCACTGGCTGGCCTGCAGGGGTGTGGGGAGGAGGTTCAGTCCCCACTGCGACCACTTGCAGTGGGAAGGAGGTACAGCAAGGTGGTGCAGGCGAGGCATGAAACCCGTTGTGTGATACAGGGCACAGTGCGAGTGTCTGCTGGACCCGCGCCAGGTGCGGGATCTAGGAGAGCTAAGGGGGTCGACATAGAAAGTATCTGTTGGCAAGCAATAGACTTGTAGGGGGATACGCTTCTTCATAGGGAAGTATATTGGTTGCTCGTTTGCACTCTGGATTTCTACATTTGTAAATGATTTCACAACAAGTTTTCTTTCGGGTATCTTTCCATCCGATTTAAACTGGCAATTGCTTTGTTGCGGATTTACTAACACTTGGCTTTGTCACAAGGTGTATACTTGCTGACACGTTTTTGTCCTACAGTCGACAAACTTCCGCGCTAAAGCATTCAGCTTGTACCCTCTTCTTCACCTTTCAGTTCCAGGGGACCCGTGCGGCAACAACAATTACAAGGGCGACCAGGATTTGTACGGCATGAACCCGTGTGGCCGGTTCCCATGCCAGAAGACTACTCAAGGCCATACATGCAGCTGCGTTATTCCTCAGCTTCCCGAAGCTACGCCTCAACCTTTTGTCGAGGTTGACAACGGAGGTGGCTCCAGAACCTGTGCTTATGGTAAAATCTTGCTGCTGATTACGAAGTACGAGCTCGCTTGGAGACTATCATTGCATTCTCTCTCTCTCTCTCTCTCTCTCTCTCTCTCTCTCTCTCTCTCTCTCTCTCTCTCTCCCTCCCTCTCTCTCCCCCTCCCTCCCCCTCTCCTTCCCTCCCCCTCTCCTCTTCCCTCTCCCTCTCCCTCTCCCTCCCCCTCCCCCTCCCCCTCCCCCTCCCCCTCCCCCTCCCCCTCCCCCTCCCCCTCCCCCTCCCCCTCCCCCGGCCCCGTCCCCCCCCCCCCCCGTCCCCGCCCCCGCCCCCCCCCCCTCCCTCCCTCCCTCCCTCTCCCTCTCTCCCTCCCTCCCTCCCTGTCTCTCCCTCCCTCTCCCTCCCTCCCTCTTTCCCTCTCTCTCCCTCCCTCACTCTCTTAATCACTCTCTCTCTCTCTCACACTCTCTCTCTCTCTCTATCTCTCTCTCTCTCTCTCTCTCACTCTCTCCCTCTCTCTATCTCTCTCTCTCTCTCTCTCTCTCTCTCTCTCTCTCTCTCTCTCGCTCTATATCTATCTTTCTGTATCTCGCGCTCTCCCTTTCTCCCCCTCTGTCTTTTCAATACCACGCTGGAGGGTACGTGGCATGGCATGATAGCCCTTGCCTTTTCGTCACATATTCTAATCTTCATGCCTTGCTTGTCCCTATGTCCCTCATTGCTCGATCTTATCTGCTTTCTCCAATCTGTGTAATATCCATCACCCCAATACCACTGTGGCAGTGGACGTGTGTGGGTCGTACTTCAAGAACCCCTGCTACGTGGGCACATGCATCAACGATCTCAAGGGCTCCTACTCCTGCATCTGCCCTCCCAACTACATACAGAGAGTCACACTCTACGGCTTCCCCACCTGTGATCCAGGTGATGCTTCATTGTTCGAATGGTTTTTTTTTTTTTTTTTTTTTTTTTTTTTTTTGTGTAAAAAAATCTATAAAGTAAAGTAAGAGGGACCTCTCCCCCCCTATCCAACCTCATTCCTCTCCCTTTTCTTGATGCCTTTGTCTCTCTCTACTCACTTTCTACAGCGAATTTTACAGCCGACAGCATGACAGTTACTGGAGACAACTGGCACTGTTACGATGTATTTTCTCTTGTTGGAATTGAACCGTTTGTATTCTATTCATGGAATGAGGTAAGGATTGGGTTTCTGAGTGACTACCTTTACGACTAAGTCTTTTGTTGGCCTCGCCTCTCTAACTTTGATGTTACTTCATTGCGCCACACTTGGTTTTTTCATCTGTAACATTGCTGATGTTATGTAATATGAGCAAGGGAAGATGACTACAAGCTCGCACTCACGTCACTTCTTCATGCAAGTGTTCCACAATGCAGGAGATAGATTGCAACCAGCCATTGCCCAAAGGCAGTCTCATTTATCTGGTTGGTGCTCCTGAAGATACTTGCACTGCCTTCTTCTACGCTCTAAAGGTGGGACGGGGTGGTGCCCTTTTGATTCCATCTCACCGTGGTCTTAACCAGCTTGTCTAGCCAAGTTACATTTCATTGTAGGCAGCAACATGCGCATTCAACACGTGCTCTCTCCATTGGTCCAATTTCCCAGGGCGACACCTGTTGGTCCGTCAGCACCCAGCTCCGCTTCAGTGTGCAACATCTTTACAACATGAACCCCGGCCTTGGCTGTTGGGAAAGTGGCTTCAATGTGGGCCAGTCAGTGTGCATCGAACGCAGCTCTGATTTCGCCTACACTGTCCCTGAGTGCCTAAGATACGACACGCTGACAGCGCAAGACACGTGCGAGGTGCTGCTTCAAAGGACCGCCAAGGAGGGGGGTGGGGCTGTCAGCGGAAGTAGCTGGGTTCAGCTGTACCGCAACAATCCCGGCCTCACCTGCTCCAGCGCCATCTCGAGCAACACTAAAGTGCAGGTAAGGGTTGGAAGGGCGGATAATTTCCTGAAAACGATAGGGCAGGGAGTGAGCTAAAGAAAGGGTAGAGGATGATTGAGGGGGTAGGGAAGGGCCATGAGGTTGGGAGGGTGGAGAAGTATAAGTGGGGATGGGAAGGGAGGGAGAAACGGGAGTGCAAAGTGGTGGACCATGGCATTTCCTGGTACACGAGGTCTTTATTGGGCCAAAATTCCTGTTCATTTCCTGTCTTTCTTATCAATAGTTCCCCCCCCCCCCCCCCCCGCCCCCCCCCACCACCCCCTCACCCACTGGTATGTGCCAATTTGCCTTAAAGAAACAAAGCACCCCTTCTCCCACAGTCAAGGGGCCATTTTGCTGAGTTCTTTCAACATGTTTCTCCCAAGCGAATTAGTATACCACTTGTTCACCTGTGTCGGTTTGGGGTAAGGTTTACTTCAGAAGAAGCACAAAGTTTTCTCTTGGAAGCTCTGACCTTGGTTGTTGATCCAATAACATCCAAAAGGTTTTCCATGTTTCGCTTGCGAAGCAAGCAAGTGTTAGGGAGCCTATAGGCATCTTCATAGGTTGAGAGCCTCGTCACTTTCATGTACTCATTGCGAATTCCAGTTGTGGCACTGCTGTGTTTGCTAGCAGTCCATTCCCTGTCAAGCCTCTTCATGGAATTTTCCTGGTTATTGTTGCTTCTGTTCTGCATTCCTGTCACAGTTCAGTTCTCAGATTTTGCATTTATTTCTCCTGTTGTGGCAGGTTTGTCTGAGGGCAGCGTATTGGTCATTCACAGCAAGTGTCATTTGTAAAAAAGGCAATTGCAAGAAGGTGAATGTCAAAGATTCGTGTTCAAGAGTTTTCATTACAGGTGGGTTTACAAGTAATTCCCAGTTCGCAGAATACAATGGCAAGACTTGCTCTGGTACTGTAGGTAGCAAGTCGATATGTGTACCCAAATAATTTGTAGCTTAATGTTAATGTTAGTTCCCCATACTCTAGGGTCTTTGGTTCTTCGTGATAATGAAGTGGGTATCGTTAGTAGACTAGAATCTATAGCTCTCAGGTGCCTTTTTGTACATACTCGTTGGTTAAGGTGGGAAGGTGTTGCATCCAAGCAGGGCCCAAAAATGGTGTTTGGCCACCTTGCAAAATCAGGGTGCCAGCCAGGCATACCCTGACTGATAGAGATAAAAAACCTTATATTGACAAATTGAGGGTGAAAAGTTATTTAGTCCGTTGGTGGTGACAACATAAAAAAGAAATGCTGCACTTAAAATCATATGTAAAAAAAGCAAAGTTATGAATATTACCTTCGAAATGGCTCATTATTTTTACAGCAAAGAAACACATTTCTTGGGATCCGGTATTACTATAACTCATGCAACACTTTTATGGTATCCGAAAAAAAACAAAAACAGACAAACACTGATTTACACTGATGGATAAATGGTAGCAACGATTTAACACAGCCTGGATCAGGGTAAGGGCGTATAATGCTGAAATTGTAAGATAAGACAGTGTTGAATAGTAGACAGGGGTTGTCTACTATACGGGTGTCTCTTATAAACAGGCTAGCCTCATTATAAGACACCTATTTGTGTGTATGAGATAAGACATATATGTCTTATAATCGAAACTTCAATAAATTATAGCGAAAGTTGAAGTACCGCGTACTTTTTTACCCTTGCGAAGCGCGAATTCTTCCACGCGCTGACCCAGGACCTACCAAATTTGCCCCTGCAGGTGTTCTCCATAACGTGGCGTCTCGGGCAGAGGTTATCGAAGTGGCACCTTCGCAACATCCACACGCATTATGAGAAACTCTTTTTAAAGAAGTACGGAAAATATTTATAAGTAGTTTAAAAAGTTTCCATTTATAAGACTTATAAGACACCCTAAACCATCCCGTTTACAAGATAACTCAAGCATTTTTGCCCGTGTACGAGATAAGACATATATGTCTTATATCCGGGCGATGACGGGTAGGAATGAGTGAACTAGGTCAAAGGAGGGGTACAAGAAGAATGTCGAGAAGATTGTGTACCCCCTAGTGCTAACCCCCATACAACCTACATAGATACAAACATATATATTTTGACACACCCCCACATGCGAAATGGGAGATAGCCAGAGCAAGCAATGGCCACAAGACGAGTTAAAACCAGGGTCTCACGTAAGGAAATTTGTCATCAACTGCAAAACAATTGATGCTGAGTCACCCTGTTTGAGGTGGCGAAGTCTAGGGATTGGTCTGGCAATTGACTGTGCGACACTTGACGTTTTTGCCTCTGAAGCAATTGCAAAACATTTCCCTGGTACATGAGACTTTCGGGATGCTCGCACAAATTGCTGGTGTTCTAGCTTTAGCACCGAACCAATTTCCGTGCCTGGTTGGTTCGGACACAAACTGCGATTTGTGTTTCCTTCGCACCCCTTCGCCACACCCCTCGTCATTCTTTACACCTCGCCATCCAATCCTAACCAAGGTCAAGTCATCAACTGCAAAACAATTGATCTACGTGAGACCCTGGTTTTAAGGGAAGAAACTAAGCAAAGCTCGGGGTGGATCTCAAGATCATTACACAGTATGAGCACAAACAAGCGGCCACAGGGCCAGATCACATGCGGAGTTATAAAAAAGCACAAACAATACAGTGATCACGACCTAGCAAGAGTAAGCATCCAGGTATAGATACACAGATCACAGTACAAGCAATCAAGAGATAAGCAAGCGAGGAAAAGTACGCACAAGACCTAGAGCAGTGCAGAAACGCGGATGATCACTAGACACAAGTGTCTTGGAGAAAATATCATTAGTGTTGGCTCGTGAGGCAACGTAAGCAACGCGAAGCTGACCACACTACTGCAACTTGTCAAAATAACTTATATGTTGTGTAAGCTGTGGTGGGGTAGAATGTACTGAGTACAACCCATTACGGTTAGCTCTACTTGTATTTCTCTCACATGCTAGTGCAACCCATTCCGCTGTATTGATTCTGACACAACTCTCGTGCGAGGAAGTAACACAGAGCAATATGCTTCGTTCTGTGCTCTAGTATGTGGTCCTGACACAAGACAGTCATGGCCTTGTTATCGACGTAAAGAACTGGAGGAGAACGAGGCCGCTCTTCCAAGTCGGTAAGCAGGTAGGTCAGCCAGCGTAATTCCTATGCAGCCATGGCCCCTGCGTAGATCTCAGCCGCACAACTGGAGCTGAGATTAGAAGACGAGCGGATAGACCTTCAACTAACTGATCCGGAGCGAAGACTGAAGGTGGAACCCTATGACGTCCGCTGAGTCGCCTGTGCCAAAAAGCGTCTGAGTGTCCAGTGAGTACAAATGGACCCCGACCTCCAAGCACGAGCCTCAAGCCTGATATACTGCACAAGTAACGCAACACCCTCTTAGCAGCCCGCCAGTGCTCTGGTCGTTGTCTTCCGGGCACAACAGAACGTGCTAGATACGCGAGGTCAGGTCGAATGCACGTCATCAGGTACATATGGCAACCCACAAGCTCTGGATACTGACCACTCGGCTCTACGGACACGCCCGACGGTGGAGCTGAGAGCGAGTGGTCTGTTGGCAGAGGAGTGGACTGTGGCGAGGAGAATTGGAAGCTGACGCGCTAAAGGACCTGGTGCGCCATGTGTGACTGAGTCAGAGTGATGGTACGCCGTGTTTTGTCCCGAGTGATCTGCAAGCAAAGATAACTGTGCAGCTCACCAAGGCAGTGCAAGAGTGTATCTTCTGCAGCTCCGAATTCACAAGGGCCAGTGCCTCAGTGTCAGCAGTAGCAAAGGCCAAGTCGTCGACGTATACGAGGATGTAGATTGGCGGCAGAGAAGTGTCGGTGCGTAGAAACAGCGACGGGTCAGCAGTCGAAGGAGCAAATTTAAGAGCCGCAAGCATCGACCTCAGTGTGTCGTGCCACTCACGAGGTGCGTGGCGGAGACCGTAGACTCGCTGCCGGAGGCTCCACTGGGTGCCTTCAAGAAACGACCGAATGAAGCCAGGTGGGCGACGTAACCAGATCTCCTTGTGTAGGCAGTCCTGCAAGAAAGTTGTGCTGAAGTCAAGCGAGTGGAGCTCATAGTAACACCCGAAGAGTGGTCATCTTCGGGGTGGGGGAGAAGGTCTGGAAGAAGTCGACCCCTTGTCGCTGACTGAAGCCTCGTGCAACGTAACGCGCCTTGAAGACAGGCGGAGAACCCGGCGGTCGCTTCACCCTGAAAATCCACATGCCATCGACTATGTTCGCCCCAGGTGGGGGAACTACGTTGACGTAGGTGCGTGTGGACTTCGAGGATGCCATCTCTGCGTCCATGGCTCTCTGCCACTAAGAGGATTATTGACCCGTGATCGCCTCTGCGTAAGAGCGCAGAGTCAGGATGTCTAGTGCCTCCGGGTCTCCTCAGGGGCAAGCAGCATGGCAGCGAGATGAGGGACAGCAGCCGCAAGACACATGAGCTCAATCTGCTTGTCCTCAAGGACGTCCATGCCAAGGGCATACTCACCCACGACGGACGGAGGACACTCAGACTCAGACTCAGTGACAAGACTCGCGATGTAGTCGAGACGACACGCATCAACAAAGTCATCAAGATGAGTCACTAAGGCAGATGCAGTAGCAAACTCAAAAGTAGGGTCAGTGACAAGTGTAGCTAGGACACATGCAACCATAGGACTGGCAACACGAGCAAGGTCAGGCTTAGGGTCCGGATCATCAGGTTGGGAGGACTCGGAAGGAGACGGCAGAGAAATACATTGTGGAACATAGGAAGGACGAAGTGTCATAGTGTGAGTGCCAGGGACGGGTGGAGGACGAGGTCGAGGAACACAATGAGCACGACGAACAATGCGAACAAGCGAGGCAGGATGAGATGCAGGCTCACACCACTCTGTCAGGGAGTCTGGCTGCTCAGTGTAAGGAGAAGGAGCAGGAAGAAGGGAGTGTGGTAATAATTGTATCTGAGACGGGTCAGGCGGTGGACCCACTAAGGGAGGAGTAA